TGGGTTTGGTTGGAGGCAGGTTAGGCAAACATTACAGAAGTTTGTCAAATCCAAACCCTTTTGAATTCAATATTAACCAAATGTTAAAAATAAGTTCTGGCCATTCTCTAGGATAATAAACAAATGGCATGGAGGGTGGGGGGGGGGGGGGTGCTGTGAACATGTACAATAGCAAAAAAAAAAAAAGTAAAAAAATTCAGTTTGGCTGGAAGCATCAATTTAGCAGTGCCTAAAGTCAAATGTTAAAATGCTAAATTCCTTTAAATAGTATACTTGGGGGAAAGGCCTTAACTTGTGAATGGGCAAATCTGTTTGCTACATACATCCTACTGCAGCAAAACTGACATTTACAAAGCAAAACATTTGCTATTTAAATTGTTGCCAATTTACATTTTCAGCCAGGGATTCCTTTCATCCATACCAGACCCTTATCCGAGATAAATATATGGTATAGATTTTATTTTAAAAAAAAAAACTATTCCCACCTCCTGAACCGTAACAGACCCCATGCTGTCGATATGGGGAGTACTTTGCCAGAGGGGACTCCCCTGAAAAAGCACTTTGTCCCCACGTCAATGAGGACCGGAGCCATCATTTATGGGTCAACAGTTATTGAGATCTGAAATGCTGGCAGTCAGTGGGTTTATTCCTTTGGTGGATCAGGGGACATCATTCATTGTGATGTGATCTTCATTTCTGGATAATGATTTACAGTTTTTTTTTTCTTTAAAGAATGCATCAAAATGTTTTTCATGTTTACATATACTTGAGTACAAGTATGTACCCCTTACTCATTCATATGGGTGGGCTGGAATCTGGGTGTCCTCCATTGTTAAATGGGCATCCAGATTCCATTAAACCCCTGCCCACAGACTCCCACAACCACCAAAACCAGGGTTGTGAGGAAGACACCCTTGTCCTTATGAATATGGAGACAGGGTGCTTTGCCAGGAGGGTACCCCATAGCAAAGTATTCCCCCCATGTTAAGAGCATATGGCCTGGTATTGATAGTTTAGGAGGAGTGGTGAATGCTTGCCTCCCCCTTTCCTGCAAGCACAGATATGAGTCTGGTGTGGATTTGGGAACAGACTCCACTGCTTTTTTTTTTTCTTACTTTCACATGGGGTTCCCTTCTAAAATCCAAACTAGACGATAAGGGGTTTATTAACTAACTTATTTACTAAAGCTGGAGAGTGCAAAATAAGGCTCACTTCTGCATAGAAACCAATCAGCTTCCAGGTTTTATTGCCAAAGCTTAAATGAATGAGTAACTGCCTGTCTCCTGGAATCTCCTCCATACCCTTGAGACTGTGCTGGGAGACACAGCAAACTTCTGGCAATGGCACATATTGATGTGCAATCCTGGAGGAGTTGGACTGCCTGTGCAACCTCTGTAGGGTCCAGGTATCAGCTCATGCTACCAGTAGTGACACTGACCCTAGCCAATTGCAAAACTAGTGAAAAACAGTCAGAAAAGATGAGTAGGGAAAAAATGTCAGTGGCCTCCACCTGTAAAACCATTCCTGATTTGGGGGTCATCCCATTGTTGCCCATCCAGTGCACCTGTTGTTACTTTCATTAACACCAAAGCAGCTGAAACTGGTTAACAACCCCCTCTGCCACTTAACTTACCAGATCAATATCCCAGGAGATTTTTTTACTTGATGCTATACTTTGATTAAAAAGTGTTCTTTTAATTTTTTTAAGCAGTGTATAGATGGCGAGAGCATGCAGGTAGTTTCTGGAGGATGAATGGTCCCCACACTTGCCTGACCTAAATCCAATGGAACACCTCTGGGATATCATGTTTCAGTTCATCCGACACCGCCAGGTTGCACCTCAAACTGTCTAGGAGCTCAGTGATGCCCTGGTCAAGATCTGGAAGGAAATATCCTAGAACACCATTGTCAGGCATGCATTCAAGCATATGGGGGCCATACAAATTACTGAGAACCATTTTGAGTTGCTCCAATGAAATATCAGCAAAATGCACTTGCCTGCTGCATCATTTTTTCACTTTAATTTGTAGGGTGTCTTTGAATTCAGTCCTCTGTAGGTTGATCATTTTCATTGCCATCAAACAATGGGGCATCCTTATGTTCCTAACACATTACCCAGTCCATATCAGCATGATATTTTTTCCCACTGAGATCTGATGTGTTTTCAAAGTGTTCCTTTAATATTTTTGAGCAGTGTACATATATATATATATATATATATATATATACACACACAGTTTGTAGTTATACATACATATATATACACAACTATATACACATAGTTTGTCATATATACACTTAGTTTGTCCCTGCCATCTGCTACATATTTTAAAATACTTAAAGCACATTTGACCTAATTTATGAAAAAAGATATTTATTTGCAAAATGTTTAAACAGAAACTGAGAAAAACTTTTTTTTCCAAAATTTTCAGCCTTTCTTTTTTATATAACAAAAACAATAGTGGTGATTAAACACCACAAAAAGAAAGCTCTAGCTGTCTAAAAAAAAATATATAACATTGATTTGGATACAGTGTTGCATACCTGAGTAACTGTCATTCAATGTGTAACAGAACAGAAAGCTGACAAAATGGCCTGGGCAGGAAAGTGATTAAATAGTCTGGTCTTTAAGTGGTTAAGTGCCTGGGCAGTTATTTGTATAGTGACTAAATAATACTTTTTTGCACATTATAAAAAATAAATACTCTTGTAAAATGCTTTGAAATATAACCCTATTTAAAGTTCAGAGTCAAAATCTATTTACCTTTTTGTCTATTAAAAATTTGACGTTTTTATTGTAATACTTAGTAATTGTAATTTTATTGTAATACTTAGTACTTAGTACTTATTGTAATACTTAGTGTATTTATTAAAAAAAATAGCTTAGCAAATGTCACAAGCATTTGTCTGGCTGTAACAAATTAGCCCTGTATTTTGTCTAATATGAGTATTTCCCTTGATAGTCTGTTCTATCTAGTGGTCACAATGTGGTATTTTCCTGATTGGGGTAGTTGGTAATTTTTTCCCCAGTCTCCTAACCGCATTTTACTGGTATGACAAGTGATTCAAACTATACAAGAATAAAGCTGAGACCTGACTGACCATACACATAGATTGTAAAATAAAACATTGATAATGGCCTCTTACCTTAGGAAACAGTCGTTTAGCATGGGAATACAGCCTGTGAGTAGACTCAGATGCATTAATTCATTGTTTTGGTTTCCACTTTAAATTGTCATGGATTCTAGAACAAAAACTGGCACTATCCCTTGAAGCTACAGCATGAAACTAAGCACGTCTATTGTAAAGAGTTACTTAAAACTGCTCTAGCAATTACAGCTTTTGCTGACAGAAGGATGAGTGGATTAATTTTGTTTCCACTCACTGGACTTGATTTACCAAAGTAAATGAATAGGATCAAGAATAAATTGCTACAATAAACATGTATAATAGGTTTACATGAGCGTGTGAATGCATTCACAGAAATTGTCATCCTTGAATATAGTTGATCATCGATGCTTAGTGCATACGGCCTTAGTTGTCCATGCACATTGAACATTCAACCAATACTGCTTTTGTTCCTGCTCTTATTACAACATGCAGTCGAGCACTGAGGCATGCATGTGCCAATATTTTATCTGAAAATGTAAAAATAAATAATCAAAATGTGCATGTGCAAAGCAGCATGGACCAATACATTAAATTCATTCACACCTAATATAGAAAAAAGTAGCACAATAAACAATTTTTTATAAGGAAGTCTGAATTTATCTTTTGATCAGTGCCACCACTCACCAGATATAATGGAGGTTAAAAGAGGTCAAAATGTGCATGTAATATACATTATGTTGTGACAAATCACCAACACCACAACCAGATGATTAAGATGCGCACTCACCAAAATCCAAGACCTCACTCTATCTATGGAGGTTGGCAAACTAAAGGTAAAAGCTAGTTCTTTACATCTAGAAAAGATCTTCCCAGCTGTGTATTCAGCAAAAAAAAACTGACAGAAGATCATTAGCAGTTATGCTCAATCAGTTCCACCTTTAACATCAACTGAAATATAGGAGCAGGTCACTTCCCAGCCTGGGGGCTTCTTAACACCAATAATCAATACAGTCCCTGGACACTGCCCACGGAAGCTCACACTCCGGCACTCTGCTATCTACCTGAGGATTATCGATTATCAAAATTTTCCAAGCTGGGAAGTGACCTCCTCTTTCTATATTTCTCTTGATGTAAAACGTGGAACTTATTAAACATAACTTTTGCTGTCAAGTTCTAATTTTTTTTAATGCATACACAATGAATACACTGATCCAAGAGCCAGTTCACAACAGAACGTGGTGTGGTAAACCAGTGTTCTGTGCGTGCTTCCTGCACCGCGTTCAAAATGGGTGGGTGTCAATGTTAAGTTAATGACACACCAAATGCAGATTGCAAACACAGTGCTTTTGCCTGCACCAGATCACATGGTACAGAAGTTGGTTGTTATGTGATTTTTAATTACTTCAATACCAGACATTTTTTACACCCTTCCTGCCCAGACCACTTTCTAGCTCTGAGTGCTGTCACAGTTTAAATTAAAATTACTCATTCATGCAACACTGTACTCAAATTAAATTTGTATAATTTGTATAATTTTATTTAGAACGATAGAGCTTTCTTTTGGCGGTATTTATTCAACAAAAAAAAAAACATTTTTCTTAGTTTCTGTTATAAAATTTTGCAACTAAATACTCATAAATGTATAAAAATCCTCATAAATGTATTCTGCTACATATCTTTGGTAAAAATAACCCAAATCAGTGCATAATATTTTTTTTGTATTAACAATTTTAATGGTTTTCACGTAAGTATACAAACAGCATTTGAAAAAAAAAAAAAACATGACAAAAAGGTACATCGATGGTAAAGGACTGCATAGGTACAGGACAAATAATGTAATAAAATAACAGTGTAGAGGTTATTAGGACAGTACATTTTGGGCTGGTAACAGGAGCGGACTGACCATTTGGAAACTCGGGCACTGCCCGTGGGCCCGGGGTCAGTAGGGGGCCCCATGAGATGCCCCTGGTACCTTTTTCATAGGCTTTTTTTGAGTTTGGGCAAGGACACAGGGGCCCCATGATCCCCTATTGCCCGGGAACCCCATGAGTTGTCAGTCCGCCCCTGGCTGGTAAAGAAGAAATGAAGGTATCCCATGGGTTCCATACTGCCTCAAACACAGCAATCGAACAAGTATGTAGGGCGGTCAAATACTCCATCTGCCTTACATCAGAAAATATTTTTGTACAAGATCGGCATTGAAGAGGGAGATAGAGGATAGCCAGCACATAGGAATGCTTCTCCTAGCCGCGGTCAGAACATGCACGGAAAGTTTCCTGGACTTTTTAGATAGGCCTGGGAATGGTAGGTAATGAGAGGTATGCAATAGTGATTGTAACAAGGACAAAACCTCTTCCCAAAAGGGAGTAATGGAACTGCATGTCCAAAAAATATGGTAGAGAGAACCAAGGTCTGTACCACAGTGCCAGCAAGCAGGAGAAGCATTCGAGTTGTAAGCATGGAGAACTTCAGGCACTTTTTACCACAACACCATGATCTTGTACGTATTTTCCTTAAAGACCACACAGACAGAAGATCTAGGTGTGTTTTCCCAAATTTTCTTCCACATTAACAAATCAATGTCACATTGTAAAAATTGAGACCACTTGCACATGTAAAGATAAGTGTCAGACGGGGGGCGGGGCGTCCATAAGTAGTCTACATGTGTTAGAAATAATACCCCTTTGGTGTGGACCCTGTATGCATAAACGTTCAAAGGGAGTAGGCTTCCCCAGAATCAATGAGGGTGACATGGTAGAAAAAAAGTTGCGTATTTGAAGGTAAATATATAAATGTTGGCATGGTAGAAAAGCTTTTTTCTGGAGTCCTGAGAAGGAATGTAGTTTCCGAGTCACCGGGTGTACCAAGTGACGCAGTTGGAAAAGATTGGCTGCAACCCAAGGGGACATCCGGGACATGGCCATATTGTCTGGGAGATTGGGGTTGTAGAGGATATCTGTCAGCGGGGAACAGTCAGAGACCAATGCAAATTTAACCTTACATTTCTGCCAAACAGTCAGGGAAAAATGCATGGGACCAAGAAATAGGTGATGAAAGGATGAGACATCCACTGCTGAGGTCGACCAAAGGAGGGAGCAAGGATGGGCCGGAGATAACTCCAAAGATTCAATCTCCTTCCATATGTTGGGAGGATAAGGGGTGGACCGTGACATGAGAAAACGAAGATGAGTAGCATAGTAGTAGGTTACTATATCCGGCGCCCCCAAGCCCCTCTAGAACGCAGGGAGAGTAGAACAAAACATGCGATTCAATGCCGTTTTGTCAGTGCATAATATTTAGTATGTATATCTAATTTCTTGTGTCCCTAAATTATCCTTTTTTGGAAAGTAAAACAGTCTGAGGTATTAAGTAAGGGACATGGTGATTTTCCTGAAGTTGCAATTTTTTGTCACCATTTTATTGGAAAATTAAGAAATTTCAAATTTCTTTATTCTTTTACATACTGTCACTAGAGCAGTACAGCATCATCATATGACTGGTGTGGCAGTGATCAGGGATACTGACTGATATGTTTAAATAATTAATTTTTTTTTTTATATATATTTTTTTTACATACTGTGACCAGAGTAGTGCAGTGTTACCATAGTGACTCTGAGAAGGTGATCAGGATTTCTTTTTTACAGTATGATTGTTTATAACAGTGATGATCACTGTTATAAGCAATCATTTTTATGAATGCCATCCATTCATTCACAGCCATTCATTGAATATTATTTATATTGGCCTCAGCTATCACACGGTATAGATGGACTGTGTTAAGCCTGTCTGTACCATGTGATCACTGTGACCAATCACAGAGAACATTCCAAAAATACACAATCAATGGATATTAATGAAAGTCATTAATTGTGTTCAACTTTCATATGATCGCTGTGATTGATCACAGCAATCACATGATACCAGGATGGGCTCAGTATAATGAACTGTCACCCCCTGTGTCACTCTGCACAGTGCAACCCCTAGGGTGTGAGCAAGTCGCATGCCAGGGAAGATGTCGAATGACATCCACCCAGGATGGGAGAGCTGTCAATTTACAATAGGCTGGATGGGAGGCAGTTAAAGTAGAGCATGCACTACTTTTGCTGCAGTCCGGTGTGATTCAGCCCATTCAAAATGAATGGGAATAAATTGCACTGCACTGAACTGCATGGGAATAGCACAGGATTCCAGGTGTGAACCAGCTCTAAAGATGGGCTTCCTTTCAGGATCAATAGAATGATAAGGTATTCTTACTCCAAGCACTGCAACTTCATTCTGTATTACAGCAGTAAACCTCAAAGCAAGAATGTATTATATTGCATTTTACCAACTCTTAGATGTGATGGCTGTATTCATTCTTTTTTTCTTCTATTTTCATTTGATAATCCAGCTAGCAAATCTGTTGATTTTTAAAAGCTCAAACTTTCTAGTAGAATGTATCAGTTTACAGGAATGAGACAAGCTGTTTAATACTGGCAGAGGTGTTTAAAATGATCACCTTTTATTTTCATGTAAAACCTTTATCCCAAAAGGAAAAAATGTTTTTTAAATCTGCTAATGCATTTAAAACTCCCCTCCCCCTCACTAATACAGAAGGTATGTGACTGGCCAGATCACCAGGTGAAGACAGAGGAAAAAAAAAAAGAAAACTAATGCAACTAATACATTTAACAATTGGTAAACTGAATAAATTACATTTTTGGTTTGGGGTTTAATACCGCTTTAAAAAAAACTTTTGCAATAAGAGGCAAAGTATATTCATACATTTACAATTGAATTTCCATTCAGAAACCAGCATGTGTAATCTCACAAGCCAGATGGAGTGTGTCTTTCTGAACAGAACATCTCTGAGTATGGTTAACTAAGACATTTTACAAATTAGCATTTCTTATATATATACACTGGATCAGTTCACACTTTGATATAATTTGGCTCTCCACACAAATGGTGTACCTTTGCATGTCTTTTTGGAAAATTAGCTTCACTGCCTCCAAATTTGCAATAGGTGTGAGCCTAGGAAGGGCAATGTTTTGGATCTGAGAAGAAGCAGGTTAAAGAAAGATAAAAAAAAAAGGGACTGTCCCCAGACAAGAACAGCACTCTAGTTTAGACATCACAACTAAACTTGACATCCATGAATACCATGCATAGTTGAATTAGTACTTTTCAGTATATCTAAAGCCAAACTAATTTTAATATAAATAGTTAAAATTCCACTTTTTTTGTTTTTGCTGTCTGTTCCATCGAGAGGAGATCTCTCCAAAGTAAGGGAATCCTCTCTTAGACAATCACCCTAATTGAAAGATTTCTCTCTATTCCTGTCCTAGTGACAATCACAATTTTGGATTTTCAGATGATGGTCACCAAGACAGATAAAGTGTGAATTGTGTCTATCCAAAAAGAAAAAAATGGCTTCAGATATACCTTAAAGTGATTCTAAAGGTACATTTTTTTCTTGTAAAATAACAAACATGTCTATACTTACCTGTTGTGTGTAATGGTTTTGCACAGAGCAGCCTGGATCCTCCTCTTCTCGGATCCCCCACAGGTTCTCCTGGCTCCTCCTTTCTGTCGGGTGCCCCCACAGCAAGCAACTTGCTACGGGGGCACCCGCAGCTCCGTTTGTCCATTCACACACGGAGCCTTGGCTTGACCCCACCCCCTCTCTCTCCTCATTGGCTGACTAGCTGTGATTGACAGCAGCAGGAGCCAATGGCTCCCGCTCGATGTCTCAGTCAATGAGGAGGCAGAGACCCGGGGCAGCAGAGGCTATTATTCACATCGCTGGATAGCAATGAGGCTCAGGTAATTTTTAGAGGAGCTGGGGGAGCTGCTGCACACAGAAGTTTTTTTACCTTCATGCATAGACTGCATGAAGATAAAAATCTTCAGCCTTTACAACCACTTTAAGCTAAAGTTTAGAACCAAACTGTTGTTTTTGTCCTGCACAGTTCCCAGAACTAGCTCTCACATGACTAGGCAGCTATTAGTATCCAATCAGTCAGCTCACTCCTTTTCGCAGAACAACATCTTCAGAAAACCAAAACCCTTTTCTGCTTCGTTTCTTTAAAAATCAGTTGAGTCAGTAAACAAATATCACTTGTTTGCAGAGCTGTCACACAACTGTATCTTTGACGTATCTTTAGACATAGAACTAAATAAATCAGATTATGTTATAATCATGTGGCTTTTAGTAGAGTACAGCACAGAAAACAGCTTACAGAAACATCCCCTTACAAAGTAGAACTCTTGTCATATTTGAGCTTTACTAAGAATACCTGGGAAAATCATAATCCCAGAGAATGTGAGCAGAGTAGAAGGTGGGATGGTGGCCATGGCAAACCATGACATGCAAATTGCACTACCCTGAATAAAAGTTGGAGGAAGATAAAGGATAAGCCTGGTGTCTACATAAAAATAAACATCAATATAAAAAAACACAGTGCTGTTTAATAGGCTACACCGGACTTCCCCAACTACAGAAAGCATGTTTATTTATGTAGCACTACCCCCTTAGGACTTGCTGCATTTTGGGGACCCTTAAAGATTATACACAGCCAGACAACACTCATTTTCTTCCTCACTTTGCACACTGGAGTCAGTATCCAGTCCTTGAGCTTGGTGTGGTGATTTTATTTAGGGATTCAGAACTTGGATGCGGTTGAGGGGTGTATGGGATACCCAAGGAACTGTAGAAACTTGAGAACAACTCAGAGCAACTATGGTACAAAGATGTGGAAAAAAAAAAGGAATAGTTCCTTTGAGAGCATTCAAAGCCCTCTAGTTTGCCTCCTCAGACTCCAGATGAATCCTCCTCTTCATCCAGCTGCACAGAGGGTATTCCCTGGGCAAGGGGACCCAGAAGCTGCCAATATAGAACAGTCCCAGATGAGACGCTGATTGGGTTTTCCACCTGACTGCCTCTCCCCTTATTCGGCCCAGGGAGTGGAAAGTTACTCACACTGTCCTTCCTGTCAGCTTGTTGGGTTGGTGGCTGCCTTCAGGCATTCCGCTGGGCTGGCTCCTTCCCTGCTGCTCACGATGTCCTACTTAGAAGACAGTGGTGCAGTGGAGGTTCCCTTTTCCAGCACCTGCCTGTAGGTAGGCCACTTCCTTGGGCCCCCTTCCAGGCT